TTCCTATTAAAAAGACATGACATTTTGTTGCAAGGTAACAGTATTAGAAGCTAAAGTTTTCATCATCTCACGAAGATCATCATTGGATGACGACCCCGTAACATTGGAGTTTGTGAATGGAAGGGATTGTCTTGCTTGATAATTCTGTTGGGGTTGAAATCCATGGGGATGGAATTGTCGGCCTTGATTGCCTTGTTGGGATGGGTTGCCATAGCATAAGTTGGGATGATCTCTCCATCCGGGATTGTACGTGTTGGAAAAGAGATCATATTTACGCTGGGGTTGTCCGTTGAATGCTCCATCAATTGCATGAGCTTGTTCAATGTAATCTTCTTGCATTGTTGGGCACATATCTGAAGTATGTCCTTGCAAGGAGCATATGCTACAAACTTTCACCTGCTGCACATTTCCACAAGCCAAAGAACGCACAAGAGAAGTAAGATCATTAACTTTATTCTTAATGTTAGAAATACTTACCTCATTTACTCGTTTGTTGGAGAAGTCTCCACGAGTGCCAAACTGTTTTGAGTTGGCTGCTATGTTTGAGATCAATTGGCGTGCAACCTCGGGTGTCTTATCCACCAATGTGCCTCCACTTGCAGCATCAATGATACTACAGTCAGTAGGCATTAATCCTTCATAGAGTGTCTCTCCATGAGATTGTCGAATCCCACATATTTCTTTTCTTATATTGGCAACTCGAGATGCTGGGAAATACTTCTCAAGGAAAATCTTCTTCATGGCATTCCAAGTTCCAATAGATCCTGGGAGAATAGAGAAAAGTCATGCCTTTGCTGCCCCTTTTAAAGAGAAAGGGAAAGCTTTTAACTTAACTTGTTCTTCATCAACTCCATTCGGTTTCATGCCAACACAAACCATATGGAACTCCTTAAGATGAGTATGAGGATCTTCTCCTGCAAGACCATTAAATGTTGGTAACAAATGTATAAAACCAGATTTGAGCTCAAAGTTTACATTATTGTCAATGTTTATGCATAGTGGCTGATTTTCCACATTAGGAGCAGCAAGCTCCTTGAGTGTTTGTTGTCGTGCAATAGCCATGGTGTTGAGGCGAGCTTCCTTTCTTAACCTGCGTAAAGTGCTTTCTATTTCAAAATCAACCTGCACTTGAATTTGATTAGTAGAACGGGTCACAAGCATCAATCGCTAAGAAAACTCAAAAGAAAGAAACCACAGAAGAGATAAAAAAGTAATGCAAATTATATGAAAATCCAACGCTAGAAAACTAAAACTACCTAAAAACCTTAAAAAATAGTCAAATTTGGCCTTAATAGGATGGGGCTAGTAGTATACTACTAGTCTTGTTCAGAACGTCGTTTTCCTTCAGGAAAAGAAAATCCAAAACCTAATTCCACAAACAATTCTGTTTTTTTTTCCAGAAATATAAATACAAAATCACAGCAACTAAAAATAACAGTACAAGCACAAGAATCAACTAAAATTACCTCCCCGGCAACGGCGCCAAAATTTGTTGCGATGTCGCGGTCGCACAAATTAATCGACTGAACGTCAAATCTGCCAATTATCTCCAATTTACTCCTTTTTGCATTTTTCATCCAAAAGTGCCTTCAAAACATAAAACAAAGAATATCAAGGCATTTTACATATAAAACATGGACAAAATATTAGGTAAATGTGGGTGAAACTATCGAATAATATGGTTACATCATACACACACACATTTATGTTCATACAACTAATGTAGTAACACAAAAGATAAAAAAAAAAGAGTACATAGTATTTAAAATTCAAAAAGAATGACTTACTATTGATGGCTCTTGATCTTTAGGTGGTTGTTATGCCACTTACCATACTTAATTATTGTCGACGAAAACCACAAACTATTACACATTCACAACATTTCCAAACTAAAATACAAATTACATATGGTTGTTATTGTTATATCATGGGAAATCCTTTATGGATTATGAAAAATAAGAAAACATGAGCTAACAAAATTCCCATAAAAAGTATAATCATTAACCAAAGTATCATACTTAAATTTTTTTTTTTATAAACATGAATAAAGTATAATATTTTTAAGCATATGATTTCCAAATAGTAAACTTGCATTCAAATACTCTATTAACACACCTATTTCATTAAAAAGCATGAGCCACGAACTTGTCCAGTTTTGTAAGTATTTAGTGATAACAGTATAAGGTCGAGAGAAAGCCTATTGCTAGAGAAGGCCTGAGCAAGACAAAGCAATGCATAAGAATATTCATCTAACGTTAAAGCTATGTTATAGTATAAAAGTATGGGGATTCATCTTGTAAGATATAAAAAGTTGTAAAACATTCTGTTTTTACAATTATTTTGGTGTCTACAAATAAAAAAAACATTTAGTGATTAGAAATGCACCATAGACAACCCTTTCACTATGTGTTAGATAGGGAATAATATAATTTTACCCTTATAAAATGCATAAATTGTTTATTATATCTTTTTTTTCTCCTTGTTTAGGGAGACAAATGGTCTAAGCCCATTTTTGCACCCTTCTGTTATCACTTTTATCAGTTATGCACTTGTATTTTCTTAATAAGCTAAATAAGTACAGTTTGGTCAAGGAGCATAGTAGGGTGGTGAGTCAAGACATTAACTTGAATGTGAGAAAAGTTTATGATCATAGAAATTCAAAGTAGTGAAGAATTGAAGTTAGCAACTCAATTGGTTTAGATAATTTTTCAATTTTGGAAAAATTGCACTTAATTGGTGGGATTTTGAAATACATGTGTTTTACCAAATAAAAAAAAGGTATTTTTGACAAAGTGGAAAAAGCTCAAAATGCAAATCATGGATTTAGCATGTATTAATACTTAAACCTACCTTCCCATACGCAAGGGCATCTAGCTGGGAAAAAAAGATGGACATAAGCTATCATGGTTATTCATAATCTCTCACGTGAACAAATTAATTTGAAATCTAATTAACCTTGAAAACAAAACCTAAAAAACCCTCTCCCTACACCTATTAGATATATAAAAGCCCATTAGATATATAAAAGTCTTCTAAAGACCTACCATATTTTCATCGATATTAATGTTACGAATACTTTTTTCTTTAATATTATTACAACAATATTACACTTTAGCCTCTCTTCTCTATAAAAAGACTTATATGTTATAAATAGACTATGAATCCTTTAAACAAAGGGTTCAAATTCTTCATTCTTTACTGTATATTTATTTATGTAGTATTTTTATCTTTTTGTATTATTATTGTATTTTTTCTCAAAACTTCAATGACTTAATCATTAGAAAGTCTCTAAATTCACAAAAAAGGACCTTTATACAGGTATCAGGCAATAATCACCTTGGCTAGGGAGAATTGAATAGATTTTTAGAATTAAGAGATTCATCAATCATCCAAAATTGTTTTACCCCCACACTACTTGGATTTTTTGGGACATCATCAATTGACATCGTCCACGGAAACTAAGCAAAAAGCTAACTATGCTCACAGCGACACCCACGATTACATCTATGGCTATGCTTATAAGCTATTTTTATAGTGATTTGTACACATAAAAGGTGTCCTTGGGATTTGGAGGGCTCAAGTGAAAAACAAAAGCTAATCAAAACACTCCTTAAAAAGGACATGTGATAAACCTTCTTGCCATAACAGACATTTCTGTCCATTTGAATCTGAACAACCTATTAACCAAGAGCAAGTTTGTACTCACGCCGTGTTGGTTACCCAAGGCATAATCAAACATTGTCACCCTTACAAGCTTGAGGGAGTTTTTTAGCCCCTTAAATTTGGGTTCATCAGTGGCCTCTTTGTAATATTTAAATGCAAAGACTTGTAAAAGTACCAAGTATAACGAGTTTGTCGATTTGTTTTCATGAGAAACAGGGTGAAAACCTCAAGTAAAATACGAAAGAACTCATGCGCAATGGTGTGCACCATGTTTGAAAAAGAAACCTCTAAGTACATAGAGGTAAACCATGAGGAAACTCATACCTAAAAATATTTTATAATTGGTGAAGAAACTTATGGAGAAAGAGTTCGTACTTAGACAATTTCTAAATATATACACGAATTATTGAGATAGATCTAGACCTAATAAGGGTTTGGTTGTGCCAGACTAGAAAAATAGCTCTAAAGAATCATAACTTTTTTATCCGACTATTGGATTAGGCTCAAATTTTTACACAAGATTTTGGAGGCCATTTTTCTTTTAGTAGCCACTACATTGCTACGTGGACCGTCGAATCTTTAGATATCAAAAATCTCACAATGAGACCCAAGTTTTGATAGTTTTGTGATTTTTCTTAATTTTTTCCAGTTTCATGCTATTTTGGAGGCCATTTTTCTTTTAGCAGTCATTGCATCGCTACGTGAACTGTCAAATCTTTAAATATAAAAAATTCACAATAAGACCTTTGGTAGTTTTGTGATTTTTCTTAATTTTTTTGAGTTTTATGTTATTTTCATAAACTTGTGAATTTGGAGCTCATATTTGTAGCCTTTTACCTATAAAATAATTTTGTGTTCTTTGCTGACTTGTTATCTTTAGCTTTCACATGCATTAGGAACCCAATGAGAGTGATGTTATTCTACTAGGAAGATCATATCAGTTTCTTCCTTGACAATGACATGGGGCATAAGAGCCCCTTACGAGAGAGATCAAACTTAAGAATAAGATATTCAAGATTATCCTTGGAGATAGCATAAGGTTTGAAAGTTTATTTGAAGAGTTGTGTTAGTTCCTCGAGTTCTAGTTAGCCTTGATGATATATACTTGACCATAATAAGACTAGGTTATTCATTTCAAGTTGTTATGAATGGTGGAGTTATTGCACTAGATAGTACCCATTCCATCACACTAGGGATATTCCATTTCAATGAGATTATGAAATTGCATTAAGAGGAACCCTTCCAAGTAGACTATGCAACAACACTAAGAAGAAACTCTTTTAGAGAGATTATGCAATTGCACCAATGAGAACCCCTTTCAAGAACATTAAAGATTTGTAGATAGGAAATATATGTTGAAGATACAATTATTTTAATTTAAAAATAAACTTACTTTATATCAAATATAATATATCATGAGGTGATTTGTTAAACTTTAAGGAACTCTTTAATCCATCATTTGAAAAGCAATTTTATGGCACTAAAGAGAACATTTTCTAAGGAGATTACATCATTGCTCTAGATAGAACCTCTTCCAAGGAGATTATGTAACCACATTAGGAAGAACCCCTTCTAGGGGTGGGGATGTCACAGGTGCAAGACTTTGACAAGGTTTGATTCCACCCATGGACAACCAACACTATATGAGTACGAACTTGCTCTTGATCTATAGGTTATTGGAGTTCAAATAGGTAGAAATGTCTATTATGATAGGGAGGTTTGTTATATGTTTTATTCTAAATGTGTAGTCAAGAGAAATCAGGGGGGTTAAATTTGCAAAATACGTGCAACTTTAATGACTAGAACAAGAAGAAATCAAGGGTTAAATCGAAAAAATTAAAATTTTAGTGGTCACTTATGAGCGTAATCGAACAAATCAGAAAACAATGACCAACTTTAAAAGGCGTTCGGATTTGAGGGTGACAATTGAAGTTGATAGGGACACAATTGTATGAAATTAGAAAATAAAGGAAAATAAATGATAAAATAGAATGAAATCAAAACATAAGAGATTGAATTGAACTTTGACATATCAAAAATAAAAATAAAAATCCTAATATATAGGAATTAGTCAAAACAACATCATTCAAGGTACTTTGCTTCTTCTTCAGTTTTTTAGATGATCAAGGAGGCACCTTTAAACTACTGAATGTGATGCTTATAACCATCCTAAAGGCTGAACTCACCATCATTTGATCGAGAAACACCCTTTTTACAACCCTATATCTTTAATAATGAATTTTTACATCTTATTTTCTCCATAGATCTCTACAGCATCTAGTTCTTAGCTAGTCAAAACCACAGTTTCAGACATTACACTATTTGGGTGGACATTTTCAAATGTTTAAATATAAAGTTACAAATCTTCAAATTAAGCAATAGTAGGTCCGATCGAAAGCCATGCACCCCCTCAACATGTCTAGGTAATCTTAGGCAATGTTAACATCGTAAATGCTCTAACGATATCTAAAAAGTGGCCAACCCAGTCAGCCTTGACAGGAACACTCATTTGTAAAAGAACGTTCAACTTTTTCATTTGCTCTCATGTAAAAGCCTTCAGAGGATTTCATAAAAGGTTTTAAACCTTTCTCTATAGATCCAAGAGTAGAAAACACCCACATTAGTCCCCAAGCACCCTACAAAACTACCTACACCTAAAATCAACAAATCAATGGCAAAACCAACTAGGTTTTAGTCTATTGGAACCCTAGACAATCCATCTAAAAGACCTAAGTCTGCCAATAAAAAAAGATGTTGAAGAACAGAATAAGGAGAAAATAAAGAGAAATAAAGGGAAAGAAAAGGAAAAAAAGAAAGAAAATTAGACTAAGAGGCAAAGGTCTTATCCAAAAAGCTTTTGAAGCTTCAACTCTCGTTTAGAAAGGTCTGGAAATAATAATAAAGGTAAACAACACCAATAACCAATCCAGATTTATATTTTCAAAGCTAATAAGGTATACACATTCAAACCTTGAAAGTAGAGTCGTGAGGCCTGTCAGATCCTTCTTTTATGTTTAATACGAAATCTTGAATGCCTTGATATGCTTTTGATTGTTTTTTTGCCATTTTATTGCATGAAACTTTGGTTTGAAGGATGCTAAATGTGGCAACAAAGGGGCAGAAACATGTTTTGTTTTGGCCATTTAAAATGAAAATGATTTGATTTTAAAGCTCATCTTATTAAAGATTGATTGTTGTTTCAAGTTCATAGCTCTAAGGATTGAAAATTCATTAATACTTAAAAGTGCATTTTTATCAAGGTTCTATATCATCATTTTGCACTTAAAGTATCAATAACTCCTCAGGTAGGGCATATTTTATAATAACATATCAATAATATAAGATACCTTTAATTTATGATAAATGTTCATCTTAAATACATGCTTATCATATAAATCAGGGAATTGATTGATGAGTTTAACTACTGAAATTAAAAAGACGAAGAGATATGCTAGTTCAATCCAAACTGGAACACTATTTGGTTATTGAATCATAAATAAAGTTGTAGAAGTTGGATTTAAGTCTACTCTATATGGATAGAAAGTTAAGACATGGGTCTAAAACTTTCATAAAAAGTTCAAGATTCAAAAAGACCATTTTCAAGTTTAAATTGTAGCAACAAAGAAGAAGCCTGAATTTGTCTTGCAGCTTAGACACTATTCAATATTCAACTCATATCTTGAGTTTTAGAAGTCTAAATGCACTGAATGTTTTGTTGTTGAAAAGCTAAGATAATTTCCTAAAATTTCCATGCCAACAATTTGTTTAAATTATGATGTTAGTAATGATGTTTTTGGAAAACAAGAAGATAAGGATTGTCACTAAGTCAAGATGTGGTCACCTACTCAATAATTA